GCAGTAATGCTGCTGACAAGCTAATGAAAACAGGGAGTCTGTGGTTTAACTGAACCAAGCTTGACTTCCATATAGCCAAATATATAGAGAGATGTACACACACAAACATATATATAGGTACATCTATATATATCTATATATACATAGGCATACATATATTTTAAAAGCCAGGCATAGGGATCTTCAGAGTTCTTAAAAGCTCAATACATCCCATATAGAAGGTCTTGTGAAATTCTTGTGATATTCCAGATAAAGGCAACATCCACTTCCATGGGAGTGGATTGCTACTTGGTAGATTTTTGACCATCTAAATGTATGTGTATCCTTGAAATTGTAGTGTGTGCATTCACACACACACAAAATACAGATAAATAAAACCAGACACGGTTAAAGAAAAATCATCAAACAGATTAAGAGAAATTAAAAAGTGGATTTTTTTTTTTCCATTTATCCTCTTGTTAACAGCCAAAACTATGGTTCACTGAGGAGATACAGCTGTTAAGACAATTTATGATGACCTCCTAGAAATGCAGGCCAAGGAATCTTTTTTTTATAATTTCCACATGAAATGTTTCAGAAAAAGAAATAATAGATCAAATACATCCTTCTAGCAAAGTCATTATGTCTGAATATTCTAGAGGGCTTTGGAAACGTTACTTAATTTCTCTTTCTTCTTTGTATTTAATTTTTAGTGAGCTGGGATGAAGCAACTAAGTACAAACATTTCACATTCTGCAAAGATGCATTACTTTCCAAGTCCATTATTATGCAGGAATTACCAAACAACACTGGCACTTTGATATTTTACCCAAAGGGAGAGGCTAATATTGGGTAATAGCTACTCACCTATGACACCTCATCTAACATTATCAAAAGAAGGAAATATTGCTCAAGTCATTAAATATTTATTCCCTTAAAGGTATAACTAGAGCACAAAAATACATTTCTACCTCCCACAGCTTTTATCAAGCTGTCAAGTTCTCCATAGTTTGGTGTTAACTGAGCCATAAAGGGAAAAATATCTAAAGCAAGAGTAATGTGTGAACCCATGCTTGGGAATGCACTTGGTCATTCAGTGAGAAACCCGGAAAATTCTTGACTATTCCTGATCTCTGCAGATAAAACAAGAAGTTCTTCATGTGCTTAACTTCCAAATAAATGCTTGAATTCACTGCTGAGATGACAAGGGATAATGTGTCTGTCATTGAACACAGCTTCAGCTATGAACTTTCTCTTCTGGACCAACTACTGATGAGGTTCAAACCAAAAACTTCTCCTTATTTCAGCTTCTTTCTTTGTCCTCACACATATGTATCTTCTGTCTTGAAAAAATAACAGAACAACCAAGTCTGACCTGAAAGGTTGTTTGAAGGCACATTTATAGACTGAAAGGAGATTCATTGCCCTATTTCCATTGTAAGCCTTTAATTTAGATTCATAATGGGGAGTTCATTTAAAAAAACAAACAAACAAACAAACAAAAAAGACCACCAAAAAAAACCCAAACCACAAACCCTACCCTTAGTTTTTGCTTAAAAATGCCATTGAAATCTACATTTTTATATGCAGAAATGTAATTTTAAGCCTATAGATATACATAATCTTTATTAAACTTGAGTTTCATAGAAACACAGGAATCTTGTTTTGTCCAGCTTTCATGTGAAGTGTGCTAGTTATAAAAATATCTACCCAGTATTTTTGTCTTTGTTGGATTATTTCCACACCTTGGTCCACCTCTTTTTAAAATAAGAAAGAACTGAACTATTGATTGGTATTTCACACTCTAAGGACACAGCAGCAAGAAAATACTGGATCAAAGTGAATCTGCACTGAGCTTTATCCCCTGCTTCCTTATTATCAAAGCATTTGTTAAACTTCAAGCATATGAATACTATCATTTATATGCAGCCAAGCACTTAAACTCATGCATAAATCTAACGATGTAATCAAGATCAATGGGGATGAAACATAAGAAAGTACTATGTTTGAGTAATGTACTATGTTATTTTACACTTAGGTTTCATTTCTCTGCCCCATCCAAACCACCTATTCCTTTGCAGCAATATGCCTAGCTCCTTGACTACTAACTCCTTGACCTAGAATATATATTTAGCTATTTTAACTCTCTTCTTACTTTCAAATTTTTAATAAATAGACCAGTAAGGAAAAAAATAATTTTAGGAAAATTATTTTGCAATTTACCTAAAAGTTTGCAGGCTTCCTGTTTTCTCTGACTTCTTCATTCATAAATTGGCTGCTGTTCTTGCTTAAGGATTATTATATTATAAACTGCTAGTCCTTTTTCCATATTTTATTAAGATAAGAAGTAAGCCAAATCCTTTTATCTAGCTGCCTTCTTATGGCTGCAGGTTAAAAGACACAGCCTTTTCTGGAAGAAGGATATAACTCCCTCTTGTATCTTCAGCTTCTAGTTTCACTTTGAAAAGAAACAATTCCTGGCATGTAAATAAAAAGAACAGTGACTACAGCATAAATGACCACACTGGGATAGAAACTGTCTCTAGCTCAGGGATGCCTGCCTGACCTCCATACTAAGCTTCAAACTAGTCATTTGCTGTACATTCATCTGCTGGAAACAAAAAAATATTTTAAAATAACTGAATTCTGCCATCAAGAAACATATACTATTTTAGAAATAGTAATGTAATTGCTTCTCTTGCACTGTAGGTACATTTTGAAGAGAAGATTTTCAAGTTTATATGTATACAGGAATATGTATGGTACCTATACACTTGGCTTGTGAACCAAGGTGATAGTCATGAGAAAAAATGACTTTCTGATCAAAGGTTGTGGAGGTCCAGTAGTTCTTCATTATATTCTGCTGGTGACATGAGTTACCTTGTGCCAGTGGTGGAGGGGCTGTAGTGAACATTTCCAAAATCCACACACGTTATTTTATGCCTACACTTTAGACTTCAAAGTCTTCTGGATCTTTAACATCTGTATGATTTCAAGACGGAAAGTCTGTGGGACGAATTCCTCATTGGTGTAATCAACGGAATTTTTATCATTGTGGCAACTGTGACATTGTGAAAATGAATTCCACAATTTACTTATTTAAAAAAATTTGTTTGTTTGTTTTTAATATTGAACTTGTTGTTTGTTAGTTAATTGTGTCACTCCTAATTTTTAAGTTATAAGGATGAGTGATTACTTGTTCCTTATTTATTCATCTCATAGCCTCACTGTTGATGACCCTGAAGAGTGGAGACCCTTACCTTATTTAGTCTCTCCTCATACAAAAGTAATTCCAGACTTCGTAATCCTCCTCATGTTTGCATGTATGTGTCCATCCATCACAATTTCTTCTTTCTGATGAGCTGATAAAAACTGCATGAAGTACTCAAACATAGGCACATCCCTGATATATAGTATCATCCAATATTTTCCTCTTTCTCTCTTAAACCTCTTCTCATAAATCTTAACATTATATTGGCTTTACTACATGAGCTGAGCACCAGTTCTGATTGTGCTTTGGTTCTCGTTTTCTTGTGCATTACTTTTCTTTTATCAACATTAAATTTTATCATGCTACCATAGAGATACTTAAAGCATAGGTAGGCCCCTTCAAAAGGCAAATAATCTATCCTAAAGTAGGACACTAATTCAAGAGCACTAAGTTGCTTAATATAATTTTGACTTTTACCTTCAGAGTCTCATTTTCCTTAGCATTTTGCAGACACTGTCCCTATTTTGACTGGTAAAGGATTCCTTGCATTACAGTTTCCCTCTTTGCCTATGAAGCCTTAATCAGTGGAGACTCTACAAGAGTTGTCCAAAGATCTCATTGTTTATGTTCTTTCTTCTTCTAAAGATCTCTAAGGCTGGGATGCCTCTTACAACAACAACGTAATTTTAAAGCAACCATTCAGTTAACCCATCAGAGTTTTGGACCAAAACACTTCTGAAGAAGTGCTATTACTTTTATTTGTGGCCAATTGCCTGTTTTCTTTCTTCATGCACCACATTGAGACATTTTTGTTATTTGCTATTTTTCCTTTAAACTCAGTATACATCTTTTGCCTTTGCAATTTTGTTTGTAAATATCCCAAATACTTTTAGGTATTTCATTGGTACCACAAGTCATGCCAGTCTGTGTCAGACTACAGAGCTCTTCAAGGACTTCCCTGCATCTTCTAACATATTTTGATCACATGCACAGTTTCCAGTTCTGATTGTGGAACCTTTTCATTATACAGTAGAACTAAACAAAGCAAAAATAGCAATTTCTTAAAAGACCTCTGAGAGCACATTTCTTTATAAAGACTGTGTAGGAGGGCAATAGAAGAAAATTAGCTATGTTGCTATTCTGAGGAATAATCAACATATGTGTGACAAGCATCCTAACATCTCTCAAAAACACTGTAAGGGAGATACATGTCACTTATATACCTCATCGTTCATCACAGTGTTTCAAATCCCTTAGGAGGTCATGAATGTTCTGTTAAGTTGGTAGTATTTAATTATAAGAAAAAAAAATCATGCTCATTGTTTTATTTTCATATATATCAAGACCATTTCATAACAATAATACAATCTCTTCAGTTGAGTCAGCTGTTGGGGCTAAAAGGGAATAATAATGCCTTTTGTTGTGCAGTGGTCTTTTTACAGACCTATACAGTGTAGCACAATAGATGATTTCCAAAGTTCTGAGATGTCAACCTTTTAAGGTTAATAAAATGAACTATCTTTATGCTGTTTCTGAGGTGTTGTGTTCAAACAAATAATTTCATCCCACACTTGACATGTATATCTCATGTACTGAGGTTTTAAATGTCTCTCAGATTTAAACTCTGCTTTTGACCTGCTGACCATGTTCGGTTATCCTATTTATAAGAAATGAGATAAGCAATGTAATGTTGTCTTTCCTTCACCAAAATAAAATAAAAAAGAAAAAAAAAAGAATGAGACAAAATTAATCACTGTCTACATCAGCTATAATGCAGGAGATATCTGTGCATTAAAAGAGATAAGCCGTATTGAGGATTTCAAGGTTAAATGAGTTTATTGAGTTAGTGGTTACAATGGTATGTCAGATACCTGTAATCCAAGCTACACCTACATATTTGCCTCTAAATTCTCACACTGTCAGTTTCCGTGTCTCTAAACATTCCACCACCAGGTCTTCTATTACTAATATTATAATAATAATCATAATAATCATAATATAAAAGGCAATGTCAATCACCATATTGTGCTTCATACTCCACCATAAGGAATTCAATTGGCAAAAGTAAACCTCTGGTCATATTCATGGGAATAACTGAAATGTGAGCAATCATAACACTACTAGAATATAAAGAAAAAAAATATGGTTTAAAAGAAGCATTTTTAAGATGAATTAGTTCGTCTGTTTTAAAAATTCACATACTATAATGAAGATGACTTAAAAGTTATATCATTTAATTATTGGGCCACACATTTAAGCATATTGGCTAGTACATTTTTGCACTGGAACAGAAGCAATACAAGCTTTATGGTCTACCATTACAATTCCATTTTTTTTCACTTAATATACCTGCCAACCTAATGTTTCTTGCATGCATAAAAATTTCTGGATTTAGACTTGAATTTATTATTTAATCCACATGTACCCCTGTGATGCAAATTCTTTGGCCAATTCAAGGCTATAGTTTAGTTTAAAAAGTAAGCTTGGAATATTTCCATTTAACATCATAAGAGAGTGCCCTAAATTTCGGCATTGCAGAAAGTTAGTTACTTCAATAGAGTCTCAGGTTGCATGCAAATTGACACTGCTTCCCCCACCCCATGCCAGACGCATACAAGTCGGCAGGTATGCATACAAAAAGAATATAAAACCCTCCTGGTAAAGCTTAGTGTTTTAGAATGAATCCATAGCTTTAAATTCACTTAAGGCCTGTACAGGGGAAATATGTTTCTTCTGGGACCCTCTTCTCACTCTTGTCTGATATTCTTCTGGTTTTTCTCTCTTTACTAGAGGTTTCTTCTCGGGTGCCTTCATCTTCCAAGACACAACTGGTGAGTTCACTGCAGCAGTACCATAGACCTTCTGATATTTAGTAGAAGCCACATACGATGCTTTCACTGTAAGGACCACAGCGTTCATCAGATTTTTAGCTGCCTGGATGAGAGAAGTGGCACTGTCCAGCTAGAAATAGAAAATAAAATTAAATACAGCAATGTTAGTCCATGGCTGGATCACTGGGTCATTTCTTGACTGAAGTCTGGATACTCTTACATCTCATTAAAAAGTAAATGAATTCTCTCCCTCAGGGTAAATCAAGTAGCTTGTACTAACAAGGGCCAGCAACAAGATGCACGAAACTGTAAAGGTAAGACTGTGGTATATCAAATTAAATTTTTTAATAATTCAGAGGAGAAGCTTGTGTTGGCTGGTGCTTTTGTTGTTGATTCTTTTTCTACAGGTGAGAAAATTGCCTCTTTTTTCACAAAAAAAGATTTTTCACCTAAACCTTCAAACATTTACTTTTACATGTCAGAAACCACAAACCAGGTCAACAGGATTTTTCCAAGTGTTCAGGTTTGTTCTAATTATTCCTATTAAGCCCCGGATAACACCCCCAGTGATGTCTGCAGGAACAGTGTGAGGCCAGTGCTGAGCTTGTTAGAGAATCCCATCTGAAAAGATGAAAGGAGATTTGAAACCCCTAAAGAAATAAGAAGATGAAACAGTTAACTGCAGGTTTTTGTAGCTTCTGTAATATTTGAGCTGCTTATGTTCACAAGAAATCTTACTTTATGATTACGTGGCTTTTCATACATCCCTTGCATTTCTCGCATGCACATGTCTCCCTGAGGTTCCTGGATGCTCTGGATCTAAGGGACTTTAAAACCCATTGAACTTCAATCCATTGGGACCTCCAGTCAACAGGCTTCCATCATAATACTGAAACAAGTAAATATCCCTGGCCAAATTTTTCAACTTCCGAAGCAATGTCTCAATGTTCCAAAACACAAATTAGTCGCTTGCCAAATCCAACTGGACGTCCTCAAATTAACAGATGCTAAAAATATGCTCGTAAGTACTGCAGCAACCCAAGTTACTACTTGGGATGTTCAGCTATCCCTATCCCAAAATACTGAAAAACAGGGATATACGCTTTGTGATAAAGCCTTTCAGTTCTACCATGGAGGTAGCCTCAACCTTTTTTTATCAGTCTTTCCCAGTTTGTAGGAATTACTTTGGATATAACATTAGTTTAACTCTTTAATTACACCTCACTTGCTCAGTAAGTTCTTTGCTATTTTTAATTAGTAGAAAAGGTCTGTCTCCCTCCAAACATTTGCTGCTGCATGTTTTGGGAGCATATGATTCTTTAGCATGAATTCTAAGCAAGATAACCAGGAAAAATACTGCTAAGGTAATAATAAAAACCATATAATTCACCTCATGTATTTGAATCATTAACAGATGAAGAGTTCAGGAGAAACCTCTTTCTGAAGTGTCAGTGACTGATGTGAACAAGAACAGACTTTACAGAAAGCCTGTGTCTGGAACCACATTAATCTATAGACTTACCTACTGTCTTTGATCTCCTCAGCTGTGGTGTTATATTCATTATGATTCATTAAATACATAAAAGGTACATACAGTGAGGTGAAAAACAAATAAGCATTTTAATGATTTTCACATACTTGGTGTCTTTCCCTGAAATGCAAAGTTAATTGCTGGCCCCCAGTAAGTATTTTTCCTCAGGACTAATTTGTATTTTCTGTTAGTAAAAGGAACTAAGTTAAAAGATGGAAAATTACATTATATGGCAGAAACATGACTGTTCAATAGGGAGTAATGAAATATAATTCAGTATAGTGTTATTCTATAACCACACTACTGCATGATTTATAAGGCAATCTGTATGTTAGCTGGCAAATAAGAGATCATATTCTATTAAATTAGGATATTCTAATTTACTGCAGAGATCTACAATCAAGCATTATTCATTGTTAAATGATTCTTTTTGAAACACTGCTGGATTGACGCTGAATATAAAGTGATACCGTCAAATTGTATTTACTTCATAATCAATGTGGAAAAACTGACTGGATCAACCCTATATTGCACATTTCTGAATTGGTTCTTTTTGCTGAAGGTTTCTAACAGCCTCACATTTTCCAGCATTTCTTTATGAAAAGAGTTGTGGTAGATATTTTACATCAGGCATATATTAAAGAGAAGAATGATTAAAGGAAACATTCTGAAATGAGGAGGCACCTAAATCAGATGCTTAAAGCCATACAGAGGACGCAATCTACATCTCTAAACACATTAGTAATTGTATGGAGCATTCTGATAGAGGTGTCCAGAAGCATGCACCTCTGCAAGATTGGATGCAGATTGCAACAACGTCTTTTCGAAAACCATGTATCATATTTTGATGCCATTTTAATTACTTCTAGCTTCAATCTGCTGTTACAGTAGATAAGGGCTCCCTATTTTCACCATTATTAATCACATTTTAACATGCAGATACTTAGTCCTTGCCCTTAATATCCATTCATATTGTAAAATGTTTTCTAGTTTTAGAATCAGAAAAGAGACATAAAAACCCCATAATAGTATTAGGTTATGAGTGTTCTCCAAAATCTGCTGGTAGCCATCCCATATATCCAATTTGGCTATGTAAGCACTTCCAGTGATTTTCTTATTGCCTCCAGCTCCTTGCTTGTATTATGGCTCAGCAAAGTAGAATTACACCAAATGAGTATAATTTCAATTAACACTTAGATCTCACTACACCACTGCGTTACTTCAGTTTTAAGCTGTGCTTTGTAAACAGCAAAGCTACAGTGGCATAAAGCTGGAACGAGGCAGCAGTGACTCAAGCCCTTAGTGTACTAATTCCTTATGAAATCTGGGCACAGAAACATATGCACTTTTCCAAACAGATAATGTTAATAATAAAAAAAAATATGTAGGAAAATTTACATTTCAAATAAAAGTACCACTGGGAAATTATTGCACAGTACAGAAGGCAAACTTCACTCCCTAGCAATGGTTAGGGAATTATGAATATAATGATAGCTTTTTGAGCAAACTGGTAACAGAGCCTTTGACTTGCTACACAAAGTAATAGTGTTCTGCTAGTTAGATCTCTTTACAAATACATTTGCCTCCAATTAGGAAAAAAAGTCCTCTTAAACACAAGAGATAAATTTAGGTTACTGGCCCATAAAACTCCAAGACAGAGAATGCTGGGGAAAATTCAAAATCCACGAAGAACCTTAGAATCAATGTACTGGAGCCGGTCACTTATCCAGGTTAAATGTGTCATCTAGCCAGTGAAGGCCTAAGCCATTCCACAAGGGGGGAAAAAAAAAAAATGCTACAAGCTATCTTTATTATTAGTGAATTATTATTAATATTTAGTGAATGCAAGGGTAGAATGTTGGAGCAGCAGAGCCTATTATCTGCCATGTAGGTAGTTTCAGGTTTTTCCCCCCCAAAAATCCATAAGGCATTGAGGAGTTTTTGATCTGCTTTAAGGTGTGCTGCATTTTTCCTGCACTATATGCAGTTTTCTAGAATCTTATGGCAATCAAGATTTCTTGCTTCTTTCACATATACAGATAATCTAAGTAAAACAAGCAGCAATTACAATACCAAAAGAGCTGAACAAGCAGGAGAGAATAAAGCTGGAAAATATTCTCCTTAACAGTAAAGCAAATGAAAAGAGATGTTCTCCCTGCGTTGTCACACCACTATAATAGGGAAAAAATTACCAGTTTTTAGAAAGGACAAAATTTAATTTCCAGAGATTTCTTCATATTTATAATGAAATTTAAATGGAAAGAAATTTACTAAAAAAAGGAAGGGAAATGGAGAAAGAAAAAAAAAATCTGTATTTCCAGTGAGCAAGGGTATAGTATGGGAAGTTTTAAAAGAGTAGGTTGTTTAAAAATATTAGATACCATTATTGTTGATTTTAGTAAACCTTGAGAAGTAGGGGAAGGCACCGGAAGAATTTTAGATAGGTTCTAGTCTGGAAATATTTGAGCAGCAGACATAGAATGACCTGTGTAATTACAGGCCCGTTCAACTGACAGCAATCCCAAATAAAATAATGTGTATGACAGACTCAATAAATAAAGTGAGGAAAGAAATACAGTTAATGGTAACATAATGGCTTCCTGGGCAAAAATATTTTCAAAGTAATTTACATCATTTGATGTGATTTAACTTTGGATTGCTTAAAACAATCCTGTTGATATAACTGGACCTTGGAATGATGTTTTGTTTGGTACTACATGACAATTTGATTAAAAACTCAGCTGATAAAAAATTAGCAAGGCACATACAGCATGATTCAAAATTCTCTAATAGCTAAGTTTCCAAAAGCATGTATGCACAAAAAGAATCATTGCTAAACAGTGACTTTTGCAGTGTGCTCTTGGAGAAACCATTTGCAGCTAACATACCAATTGGGAAAGTGGTAAGCCATACAGAGGGCAAGTGATTGATATCTAACAAGCTAGTAGAAGTCAGAAATGTAAATTTCAGTTTGGCCAACTTTATAGCAGATGATATGTACTTATACAATAAGGATCTTAATCATATGCAGGATCCTCAGCAATAACTCCTTGAGTATACAAAAAGGAGGACACTAATGGAATAGGTTAGGTTATCATATTCAGTTTATCATGTGCCCACAGTTATGGAATACTGAGTCCTCAATGCAAGAACAACACTGAGGAACTGTAAATAATTTAAAGAACCTCAAGAAAAGAAACATCTTTTATGAGAAAGATTCAGTCAGCTCTGTTTTTATCCATCAATAAAGTAATTGATAAAAAATGAGTTGATTGAAATTAGCAAGTAGAGAGCGACAGAAAGATGATAATATTTCAAGTTCAGCAGATTAGACAAAGTAACAGAATTTAATGGCTGAAAGGTGAAGCAGGTCATTTTAGTTATCAATAAGCTGAAAGCTTTTAACAGTGTTATTAATTAATCACAAGAACTCATGAAAGAGAGTGATTTTATTCTGGAAATTATGAAATCAATATTGTTGCTTAATATGTACACTCTAGTTCAAGCATACCTATTGGACATTTTTATTGCTCATTTATTCAGGAAGCCTATGCACTAGTTATGCAGGAATACAGAAAACAATACACATTAGTTTATAA